ATGTAAGTCTTTTAGAGTTCATGAGATGTTGGATTTTAGTACACTTAGAGTTTGTTTTGTTTCTTTAATCCAACAAATATTCAAATATCGGTATGCAAACAGCATAGCAGGGAGCCAGCAATTTAAGATAAGGACATCCAATCCATTCATGCATACAATCACCCATAATCACACATTGCCATACAAATGCCACATCAACAAATATATACACAAACATAACACAATCAATGTTCATTATCCGATATAAAACTGGCAGCCGTTACCTCCTGATTGGCTGCTGTGAGCTCCTCCTCCAAGGCGGAAACCCTCTCCAGCGACACTCGTAGCCTCTCTCTCACCTGAGAATGAAAACAACATGAATCATGATCTGCCTGCAGCTCTCCTCCGCGAGGCACCACGTTATTAACACGCATTTGCACTGAGGTGACTTCATTGTAAAGAGAAAGATGCACTCAGTGTGTTCCCACATGACTGCTGTTTAAATTCCACTCTAAGCAATAACAGAAAAGCAGGAGAAGGAGCTGCTGTCCTCTTTTCCTTCGCCTCACAAAAAGCACTCTGCTGTGGCTTCAAAGCAGCATTATGAAGCTCTTATTGCTTTAAAAGCACCATTTGCTGAGAGGAGATTCCCCCTCTCTCACACTCCTCTCTTGGTCCGTGAGCTCGGTGTTTGTCATGGTGGTGATGGAACAATTACTTGCGCTGTGTGGCCACTGTGCCGCATCGCTGCTGAGGCCCGATAGGACGCCAGATCTCAGAGGAGGTTGATCCTGGATTAGAAGTTAGCTGGGGACCAAGTCGGGATGCGACACCCCCCTCTCCCCAGACTTCTAGCTGCCCAAGACAGCTTTTATTACCTTGAACAGCATGCCATTGGACGTGCTTTATAAATGATGGCTTTTAGAGGAGAGGATGAATGGATTACAGGGGCGGTGGTGATACGGCGAAAGGGACTAAGGTCATAAATCAGCAGGCTGGGTAGGAGGCCGCTGAAAGGGAGACTAAAGCCAGCAAATTGTAGCAGGAAAACACAGAAATGTCAGTGCAGGGGCAATGTTTGCATCATTTGGTGTTAGATATTTTATCCATCAGTACCTAATAACATAATAATATGTCACACACACACTAGTTAGACAATACAAACTGAGTTATTTTCTAAATCACTATATGTGATGACATGAACTTGCATTAGAAAATGACTGAAAATGTAATTTCTTTTTTTTATTATTATTTTAAACAGAAAAATGACCTACATAGACATACAGTCATCCTCAAATATATCCATAACCTTCCATTAAAGAAAAGGCAAAATTCACAATAGTCACTCAAATCACTAGAAACTGAAAAAAGTAATAAGAAATAAAAATTTGATAAATTAAAATTTAGTGAAATAAGACATTGCTTTTGAATTGTGGTTGAAAAGAATAATTTAAAAAAAAAAATAGAACTGTCCCGGAAGTCTGATAGAGAGTTACAGAAAACACTTGATTGCAGTGATTGGCTCAAAGGTTTGTTCAACAAAATATAGTTTATGGCTCCCATCACGCTTGTTTGCTTTTGGGTTTTTTTGTTTTTTTAAAAATATATATAAATATTTCTGTTAAACCACAACTCAAAACCAATGTCATGATTTTCATTACATTTTTATTTATTATTACTTTTGTCACCTTATTTCACTGACAGCTGTTTTTTCCTTCTTTAATGGGAGGGTATGAATACATTTGAGGACGACTGTGAGCTTTGCAAGAGACAAGAAAATCGAATTTAATGTCTTTATTATGTGCCGACAATTTAACAATAATTTAATTTGCCAACATAATGAAGCTAAATTGATTTGGACAGAAGTGAGGTTTCTGTATTTGCTGCTTGTCCCACCTCGACACCAGTCAGGAACGCGCCAACGCAGGTGGACTCACCTTCTCATCGAGGGCTTTATGGTGTTCAAACAGGGACTTGAGCGCTTTGAGGACCTCGACCTCGCTGGAGACCCCCGAGGGAGACTGAGCCTGCCGCTTGACCACGGTCATGCGAAGCGACCGCTCGTGTCGGGACACCAGGCACTCCAGATGTTCCAGCAGCAGCTGCACAAGAGAAAACACCGTTGCCGTCAACTCCCGAGAAAAGTGGAACCGCTCCGCACAGCAGGATAAAAACACGAGCAGAACACAGAGGAATCCAAAAAATAATAACAGAACCGGAGCTCACAGAAAGTCAGCTTTCAAATTGTATCATTTTTCATTGATTTGTTTTACCCTCTGAACCCAAAAACCCCTCTGCTGGGTTTGAAAGGCATGTTGACTTTAAAAAGAATTGATCAGAGCTAGAAACTGCAAAAACAGGAAGAAGATTTTCTTTTTTCCAACAGTTCTTGAACTGCTCATTCCATTCATAAATCACTTTATTCTACATGTTCAATTTAGTAAATTGCCAAAAAACGAACAATTTGCACTAAACGGATTCAACAAAAAACAAAAAAATTCTACAATATTCAGTGCAGACATGAAGCTGTTAATGACTCAGCTGCAGCTAATAATCAAGTTAGAAAAAAAGCAAGGACTTTTCAGCTGAATTATGTTGAACTGCAGGCTGTGCTTAAAGAGAGCAGAGAGGAGATATGTGTTGAAATTAATTAAAAATGTCAAATTATCTGTATGTAGAGCCACCATTTTTACCCAGTCAGTAATATGTCTAGGCAATTAGATAAATGTTGAACATGTTGATTTCAGTAATCAAACCTTTCTTTCCTTTTTAATTCTTATTTTTTTTTATAATTACTTTAGTGATTTCTGATTTGGGCTGCAGGGTGGTGCAGTTAGCAGCACTGTTGCCTCACAGCAAGAAGGTTGCTGGTTCGCGTCCCGGTGGGGGCACCGGAATCTTTCTGCGTGGAGTTTGTATGTTCTCCCCGTGCAGCGTGGGTTCTCTCCGGGTTCTCCAGCTTCCTCCCACACAATCCAAAAACATGTTGAGGTTAATTGGTGATTCTAAATTGTCCGTAGGTGTGAATGTGAGTGTGCTTGGTTGTCTGTCTCTAAGTGTAGCCCTGTGATAGACTGGTGACCTGTCCAGGGTGTCCCCTGCCTTCACCCTGAGTCAGCTGGGACAGACTCCAGCCCCCCGCGACCCTAGTGAGGATTATGTGGTGTATAGATAATGGATGGATGGATTTCTGATTTCACACAAGGCTCATACTTGTAGTCATTGCGGTGATGTTTCCATAGAGTTGCAGGACTTTAAATTGCAGGAAAATAAAAATAAAACAATGTACCCACGGTAAGTAAAAAAAATGTGACAGGAGCAAAAAAAAAACACCCAGAAACTGCCTGGAATTCAGATTTTTTTTCCTTTAAGTAGTGGAAGAATGACTTCATGTGTACTTTATGAGGCTCCCTTCTAAACCTCAAAGACACTTCAACAGTCTAATGAGGTTATCAAAGAATAACACTCATGCAGCACATGTCAAAATAAATTTACGTTCTTCGAGAGAAAACCTAATGAAGCATGCAGAGAATGTATGTTTGCTCTTCTAGCGGTTTGGAAAAAACAACAAAACAAAACAGTTGCCCAACCATTTTAATATGATCATTTATTATCGTATTATTTCTAAATTAAAATCACTGTAACCACCGTCCTTCATATTAATACTAACTGTCATCTGTATTGATTTATGCCATTCATAAGCTCACAAATGCTCAGCAGTAATTGTTTCCTCTTTGTTTAAGGAAGAGCGATACAGCGTATGGTATACATAGCATCTTGTCAATGCCACAGTTTAAACAATGTGAGAAAAATCTCCTTCAGTTCTACTCGAAGGTACCTGCAACCCTCACAACAACAACAGCCTCACAAAAGGATTACGCTAATCTGCGCCGCCACAGTAGGTAGCATGTCAAGTCAACTGGCAGCAGAACGCTACTCAAGGACGGAGAGGCAGAGCTGCGAGGATGACTGAAAAGAAGGCAACTACACAACAACAACAACAACAACAACAACAAGTAGGAGATGTGAGTGGGAGAGATGCTGCCAGTCATGCTGCAGAGATAAAACCTTATTTGCTGCTGTTGCTTATTCAAGGTCCATTGTGGGATCAGCACTGGATCATCTGCTTTCATTTCCCCCCCCTGCTACCCACCGGGGCCGGAGACGATGCAGATCTCAGTTCTAAAGAAATAATATTATAACCCCAAGATATGATCTGGTTAGATGGTAAAGGTGCAGCTCAGAAACACCTCCGTGTACTTTCCTAGAGAAAAGCTCGCTGGCATGCCGTCAGTGCGCCGGTCCAAACATCTTCCACCCAGGCTGTCTGACAGGCTGCAGCTGGATTAAATGCATTCTGTGGTTAACCACTGGTTAGGAAATCAGGCTCCCACTGCTATCTGTAATGAACCGAAAGCAACTGCAATCCTAACACAGCGATGAAAAGAGCCTCTGAAAAATATATAGTTGGAACCAGAAGTTTCCATACACTGTATAAAAAGACACAAAACCTTTTTATTTCTCACTATCTGACATTAAATGTGACTGAACTTTTCCTGTTTTAGGTCAGTTAGGATTACCAAAATTATTTCTATTCGCTAAACACCACAATAATGAGAGAATTTTTTGTTACTTTCTTCAAAGTCAGAAGTTTACATTCATTTTCTTCGTATTTGGTAGCATTGCCTTTAAACTGCCTGACTTGGGTCAAATGTTCTGGGTTTCCTTCCACAAGCTTCTCACAATAGTTTGCTGGAGTTTTGGCCCATTCCTCCTACAGAACTGGTGGAACTGAGTCAGGTTTGTTGGTCTCCCTGCTCCACACGCCTTTTCAGCTCTATCCACTAATTTTCTACAGGATTGAGATCAGGGCTTTGTGATGGCCACCACAAAACATTGACTTTGAAGCCTCTTTGTAACTACTCTGGTGTAAAGCTTTGGGTCATTGTCCATTTGGAAGACCCACTTGTGTGAAACTGTAGATCGATACATCAAGTACAATTTTTCTTTTTAGATTGCCAGTCACCCCACTTTCAGCACACAGTCGGGACTCGATAATCCGACACTAAATGTAAAACCTTCTGTTATGTCGGATAGCGAGGCTGTCGGATTGTCAAGACGGAGGAAGAGACACAAGGAGGGCTTGATGCTTGAAGGCTCATTTGTTGTTAATATTCATTGTTGACAGTTTTAAATAATAACTAGTAGGGCTGGTTCCAATAGCACTTTCTGGGCTCAATTAATGGTGAATCGGGTGAGTCGGGGGGAGGGCACTTTTGGGTCGTATGAAGTTCACACAGCAGATCACATACAAGTCGTATTTAATTGGAAATGTGAACGAACTCGCAAAAAAAAATCGGATTTCACAAAAAAAATTGAGCATTAAGTCCTGCAGGCTATGTTTGAATGACAATATCTCAGGGAATATTATGTGCAAAAGCCTGATATTTTCACTATTACTTGTCATTACGTCATTGATTCAGAATCTGCAATACTGGACAAGTACATCAAATAAGCTCTGATTATGGCCGAGCAGAAACTGTTCCAAGAATCTGAGGATCTGAGATGGAATGACCGTATTCATCCTGGTTTGGACTGATGGTGGAAGAAGACAGCAACACATTCCTGGCATCATTTGCAGGTCACCTAAAAGAAACACTCGCATAGCTGCTAATTAGCTTTTGTCAGGTTATACCATTAAATTAATGACTGTAGACAGCTCAGGTACATTTTGTTACCTTCACACACAGCGAGACCTGCTGTTTTCCTGTTTTCTCTCATTGTGCTAATTAAATTAATTGGCAGCTAAATGTTGCTCTGTGTTCAGATATGGGAGCAGTATTTTCATCTTCTCATCTAACATTTAGTGAGAAAATCCATTTCTCCACTTGTTAAACTATTCCTTTAATCATATGTTTACCCAGTCTGAGCAAAACATGATCATCCTTTTATTTGAAACACGGATGGAAAATATCCTGCTTTCTTTAATTAAGAGCCATCACCTCCCGCTCCGACCTGCAAAAACTCATCCACCGCCTAAAGCTACTCTCATTCCTCCATCCATCCATCCATCCATTATCTATACACCTTAATCCTCATTAGGATCATGGGGGGCTGGAGTCTATCCCAGCTGACTCAGAGTGAAAGCAGGGGACACCCTGGACAGGTCACCAGTCTATCACAGGGCTACACTTAGAGACAGACAACCAAGCACACTCACATTCACACCTACGGACAATTTAGAATCACCAATTAACCTCAACATGTTTTTGGACTGTGTGGGAGGAAGCCGGAGAACCCGGAGAGAACCCACGCTGCACGGGGAGAACATGCAAACTCCACGCAGAAAGATTCCGGTGCCCCCACCGGGACGCGAACCGGCGACCTTCTTGCTGCGAGGCAACAGTGCTACCAACTGCACCACCCTGCAACTGGTTCAAATCTTTGGAGCTCAGCTTCTTCTTACTGGTTTTACTGGTCCTGGCTTGTCTCCGCTGGCTCCCTGTTCACTATAGAATTGATTTAAAGATCCGACTGATCACTTTTCAAGCTCGTCTGGGTGACAAAGCACAAATATGAACAAACTTACGAGTTTAAATCCAAAGGTGCGTTTGCCTGAGGAGATTCTTCTTTTAATCACTTGTGAAAATGCCTGTTTATGGACACACTTGCCTTCATGTGATGTTGTCTTTTCTATTGTTCTCATTATTTTGTACTTTTACATCTTTTGTCTTCACCTTAACACCACTCTGCTCTATTTGATCTTAATTCCGGGGCTTCCTGCTGTTATTCTGCTTTGTCTGCCAGAGCACTTTGCGAAACCTTTGTTTTTATAAGTGTTACATATAAAAAAATAAAGTTATTATTACTATTATGTGAATCAAAAGAAAATCACAAAAGTAAAAGTAAAATTGCCCACCCTAATCCAAATCTAATCAATAGCACCGAGTCTGAGCCTCAAGCATCTGGATTGCATCTGTTGCTATGGCGAACAACACAAAACGGGGACATAATCCATAATACTTTTATCCTCTTTTGGCTTCGAGAGAAATTCATGCGTCTTATTTTTTTTTTTCCTGCAGGATAGCGAAGACAAACTTTCAAATCGAAAGCAGCAGTGATCAGAGTCTCTGCAGGAGAAAGTGGAAATGCTTCGACGATGAAAACTGGTAACGGTGGAAATAAAGACCCTGCAGACGACCGGAGGAGACTGAGTGTCGTGTCTTCTTTTGTCTGTCTGACACAACTGTCTCCGTCGGTAGCCATCGTGTCTACACACTTCTGCACGCTCAACAAAACGCTGAATCAATCAGGGGGTGAGTGTTTACTCCGAGCCTTCAAAATAAGAGCAGACAACAGCCGCAGTCTGATCCTGTTTGCTAAATACTTTCCCCCCTCGTCTCATCGTGTCTCACTTCAGTTGTATCCAAAACAGACAGTAAAGTTAACTTGTCTGTCTGTAGTCATCACATCTGTTGTCACTCCACTGTCTGCCTGAACATGCCTTCAAAGATTTCATTACAAAACCCTAGCAGCGACAAAACCCAGCTTAATTAAAGTTTGCTTAATAATTGCCCGTTGGAGGATTTGGAGGTGATAATAAAGTGAGAGAGCGAAAATGACTTTTTGTCTGGCCCCGTTTTCTTGCACCTCACCTCCCTCCGTATTCCACAGCAAGCATTGTGCAAAAAAAAAATGTACTTCTGCCTCCACCGGAGAAAGATAGCGCGAGACTGTAAATCCACACTTAATCAGCACTGGGATGGAAAACAGAGTCTTATCTGTCAACGGCAGAGCGTGCTCGCTGCTGTAGAAAAAAGGGAAATAAGATACAGGACTTCAACGACACAAAATCAAACTGATCCGCTAATGTCTTGTGGTTTGAATTCTTTGAAGTGGACACTGCAGGGCATCAGTGCCATTTGGACTTCGTTTTACTGTTGAGCAGCCATCCATGTGCAGCGAGAGGGGGAATGTTTTTAGGCAGAATGTCTTGGAGCTAACGAGGTATGTCTGGCCATTGGAAATAGGCGGAGCGCATGGATGCCTCAGTGCCTCTATAGCCGTAAAACCGTAGCCACCAGATAGCTTAAGCTTCCTCAGGATGGCGTCTATCGCGGCGTGCAGCAGGCTGACAATTTAAAAAAAAATCTGGGCCGAGTTCTGAAACTTTAGGGAAACTTTTGAAATGCAAATAAAAGGGGGAGCGAACATGGACGAAACCAAGCAGCAGCATGATAAAAGTGAGCAAGTAAGGCGAGATGGGGCTCCTGGTTGCACAACTTTTTCATGCAGCAACACATGATTCAGGTGAATCTGATATTCTGCACATATGACATTCGAAGTGTTTCTTTTGTTGTCAGTTCTCATATACACTGGTCATTACTTTACACATTATGCAAACAACACAAACCAAGGTTCAGATTCCTGCACGTTTTGTACATTTATTACTTTTTTTCCCCTCCATCAGCAAGACGTTTGGCTTAAAGTTAGTTAAAGGCATCATTGTCTTTAGCTATATGACAAGCAGTGGTGAATTAGATTAGCATTTCTGTCTCCTGGTTTATTGGATGTTTTTTCTAAAGCATTGTTTGGTTGCACTCTTTTCAACAAATGCATCACGTTGGCCCTGTAATCATATCTCAGTGTTTCTAATAGCTGAGAATTCATTCGTGGTGGTGGCTCTCATGTGCATGTACAGACTTGTGCAGCTCAGAGGGGGCGAGTGTAACCCTACTTTTTTTTCCTGAAGCTACCATTTACAGATGTCCTCCAAAGGCCTCACAAACACATTTTAAAAAACAATGTTTTCACTATTATTTATGAAAGAAACTTTCAGAAATAAATCTTGGCATATACAGTGCCCTCCATAATTACTGGTTAAGATGTGTTAAAAGCCTTAAAATAAATTAAACTTTTATTGCAGAAGCATAATTTCACACTGAAAATTGTAGAAAAATTTAACCTTCAACTCAACTCAAATGAATCGTTGGCAAAAGGGGGTTGAACAAAGTATTAACATCAAGGGTGCTAATAGTTGTGGCACTCACGATTTGATGTAAAAGAATAATTTTTAATGCACTTGAATTAAAGGTTGAAATTTCCTCTTTTTTTCATTGTGGTCCTGTATTATTGAGAAAAGAACTGAATTAACTAGAAGCTAAAGAACACATCTTAACCAATAATGATGGAGGGCGCTGTAGATCATCACTAATAGACGCCACCATACAAACAGGGTACTTCAGATATGAAGAACGCAACTTACATTTTTTTGAAATAGTAAAATAAAACCACTTGAGAAACGAGAGAAGTAAATTGAGAAACATAACTGAATAGCTTTAAAAAAGAAAATCCTGTATCCTGATCTGTATTCATCCATGTTTGCATTTTGCATGTTTCCTCTTTCATTTCATGTTTGAAGCACTGAGATGACAAGGTCACGTCGACAAACTGAAGAACTGCATGCACTTGTCTCCATTTGGTTGCGTGGATTTAAAATCTCACCAGGAGTACCAGGCTGTTCAATATCAAGTCGCTCTGAATCTCCTTCGTATCAATACCAAACATATTTACATTTTCTCTTGTGAGAGGAACAAGCAGTCAGATTGATAAGATAACAGAACGTTACAGAGTGGATCAGTAGGTTCAGTTTCTGAATCACAAAAGCTGCAGTTGTTGTGATCGACATTAAATCCCAGTGTGGATGGATATATATTATACAACAATTTAAAATATAGCTGTTTTGTTTTAGGGGTTAGACGCAAGAAATATAGATAATTCTCCGATTCTTAATGTCTGATTGTAAAATAAAACAGTGTATGATGGAGTTTCTAATCGATTGTATCAGATGGAGTATAATGTTCACGTCATTACCAATCAATATATCTGAGTTTCTGTCAGCCAGACTCAAAGGCATCGGCATAATTTCGTCGCACTCTGTGGCCCTGCGGTACAAGCAGTTTGGTGAATGTTTTAATTTGTATATTGGGAGCTGCCCTCACCCTGGTGTTGTTCCTCTCTGCTTTCAGCTCCGAGATCTCCTCCTCCTTCTCCAGCAGCTGCTCCCTGCAGGCGTTCAGCTCCTTGGTCAGTGCAGCAAACTCCTGAGCAACAACAAAGGGAAAAAGAAAAGATGGGTCAGCATCACGGTTAGCACCACGCCGCACTCTGCAACAAGCCCTCCGTGGTGTAAGGATTGCATCAGTGTACCTTAGCTGCACACTTCAGGCGCTGGACAGAGAAAAAGAGCAGCATCTTCTACAACAACTTACTCGCGCTACTGCTAACATAGATTTCTACAGCCGTCTGTGGTAACATTGCAGTTTGACATATCAGCAGATATTCATTTATTAAAACATAAATCACACAATAAAGCAGAAGGATTGGATGCTCTAATGGTAATCAGCGGACGAAAGAGGATTGGCTGAATGCAGCGGTGCAGGCACAGCGCCAGGAGTTGTGGATTTACACCTACGGCCCTGAGCGACAGCACCGGGGGGGGGAGGACTGACAGGACGACGCTTCTGCGGCCGCAGAGTCGTACTACGAGCCCGGCAGAACAGAACAACAGCTGAGGAGACAGACTGAGTGGCTGCTGTGAGCGATGGAGTGACAGGTGCAGAGGCTGCATCACCAAGGCAGCTTGCAGTTTTAGTCACACAAATGCATTCTAGAGGCAGAAATAATCTCAGACGTCGGCGGGCAGATTAAACTGGGACCCGCTGAGGAACTGAAAAAGAAAAGGAGGTGACTAATTAGTGGGCTAATCCACCATTTAATGAAATGTGGCAGTATTAGAGCTACTGTACTCCACCTCCTCTTACTAGGAGTTGTGTTAGAAACATGGGCGGGAGAGGAAGAGGAAGAGGAAGAGGAGGGGAACAGAAGGAGGAAGAGGAGAGGTAAAAGAAAGATTAGAAGGTGGGGAAAGAAGCAGAAGGAAAAAAGAAAGAGGAGAAAGTCAGATAAAGAGCAAGGACAAAACGACAGGGAAGATGTGGAAGGGGTTGAAGAACAAAAACAAAAAGATGGAGGTGAGGGCAGAGAAGAAGGAGAGGAAGAGGAGGAAGAGGAAAGAATAAGAAGGAGGAAAGCTCAGCTCTATTTTTGCACTGAAAGTCCAATCAGTATCAGTCGTATTGTTCTGCAGAGGTCACAGGGACACACAGGACTGTTACAATAAATATAGAGCTTGTCTCAACTCAGCAAACAAATGAAAACTCTTGGATTCAGTCTGTAATATAGCACACTGTCAGTGAAATGCCTTTGCTTTGCTCTGTGTCTCTTTCTGCAGATAGATTCTGACAAAGGACAATTACAGCCCATACGACCTGCTGTTGCCTCTCCCAGACCCAAAACTCCCACAGCAGTCTTCCAGCAGTCTTGTTTCTTTAACCGCACTCCTGATTCACCAGCTCGCTGAGGGATTCTGAGCTTTACATGCATATCTATGACAGCAGCGTTGTCGTAAACAACCCTCAGAGGAGAGACGGGCTGTCGCTCGGGAAGACTTCAAACCTCCGTCCCTGTCATCTCAGTCTAAATTAAGCAGAGCCAGAACCAACACGTCTCGGGAGCGGGTCACGTCAGCCAGGTACAAAGAAAATCAAACAGAGACGCAACTGTCTCCCTGTGTTACATCTTAATTCAGAACGGGCTGATGTGACACAATAACCAACATGCTCAGCGTTTGATTTCAGACTCAAACAACGGGAGATGTGTGCATATATTAGAGCAGGTAGTATGAAGACGTACTGCAGGAACTGATGCATACTATGGCCTGGTTCTCAGTAGGAGGAGGTTTATGCTGATTTTACTCAGTCAAATCCAGAAAATATTCCAGAGGATACAACACAAGAGATGGCTTCTCTATACAAACATAAAGAATAAAATTACACTGATTAGCTGAAACACTTTACACTTAGTTAAAAGTGTAACTGATCTGGGCGCCGCTGTGGCTCACCTGGTTGAGCTGGCGTCCCATATGCAGGGCTACAGTCCCAATGTGGAGGTCATGGGTTCGAATCCCACTCATGACCCTTTCCCACATGTCATCTCCCCATTCTTCTCCCCCACTTTCCTGTCTCTCTCTCACTAAAACTATCCAATAAAGGCACAAAGGCCAAAAAAATAACTTTAAAACAAGTGTAACTGAACGGACAAAGAGGAAACCTCCAGGGCTGAAAATGAAGCCGATTAAGAAGTGCAAACAAAACTGCAGTTCCTGGAGTGGCCACTAGAGGCTGGCTCCAACCCCACAGACCTCCATGTTAAAATGTGCAACTTTATTCCAGAAATAAACAAGTTGACAGTCTAGTACAAAAACTGTTTTGGTACCTATAGATAATATCTTGGATCATTACAACTGTACAGAGAGGGGATCGTTATGAAACTCACCGGTTTCATTTGTATTAATGTTTAAAGTTATGCATGATTAAGGGCGTGGCTTCTTTGAGTTGGGTATAGTCTATGGCCCGCCTCTGGCCCCCTCACACTCCACTTCTGTGCTTATTTCTTGATTAGCAAGATTGAGTCAGACACTGTCACGGGATTTAGGCTTGCCACACTGATCCTAGAACCAAAGTCAGGGTCCAGACTGCGACCATTTTTGGAGTGTGTGAGTTGAAATGTCAAATGGTCGCATTCGTGTGAGTGCATGACAACCGTTAAGCTGTTTGTTGTCGCTGTAACCGGTGCAGGCAGCTACTGTGTTAACCACAGTGGTGGAAAGCAGCACTTTATAACTTCGGTGGACTGTGGTATTTATACTTAATAATGTGGTCTTCTTGTGAAATGCGGAGCGCAACTGGATTCGCTGTTTTCTATGAGCGGAACGGCACATGTGGATGCGCTCTGCATTGTAAAAACAAAACCCTGGGTGTCATCTCAGACTAATCTGACACTAGAACGCCCCAGTTTAACTCTTTTCAAAGTATTTTTCAGTCACACACACCTGTCTAAGCACACCCCATCCAACAAGAAGCACCTACCACAGCCTGAAATGTGAGGCATTTAGGGTACATCGGTACATTGAAGCGTCTATCGATAAGCAAACGTCCAGCAAGTGATGTCCTTTACCTGTGACAAGGTAGAAGGTGCGACCAAATAAGAAAATTGGAAGCCCCGATGCTACCATTGACAAAAGTTAGTCCTGAAAGTACAAACTTTTTCTATTTACTTTCAGCTGCCCAGATGATGTTGCAGCATACAAACCTCGTACTTCATCACAACACGTTGCCCTAAACCTTGACTGTCTTTCTCAGGTATCTGTCGCAATCTATGGTATGAAACAAGCTGCTGTTCGTCGGTGCACTTTCGGCACCTCAAGCTTGTTTGTACTTGCCTGACAACGTATGTGGAGCATCTCCCACTGTGCAGGGGATTGTGGGTCAGATTGGCCAGAAAAGCACACTAACCTGCCAGATATCATGGGGCATCCTTGTGTTTTTGGCATACCGCATTTGACATACTGTGCACTGGGGCATACCAAGTAGTTTTTTTTACATACTGTACACTATGGTAGTATTGGAGTTTCAAAACGGCTCGCAAGAGATCTATGGGATGATGTAACAGGGGGTTCATCCATCTTTACATACAGCTCATGATTGGAATAAGTAATCCATTGAGAAAATGTGTCAAAGATTAGCTGGGTTTGGCTGATTTTCTCCTCTGGTGTGCCTTTCACCGTTTTCTAACATTTCATAGACTTGACAATTAAACCCTTTAATTACAAACAGTATTTAACCATTACAGGTTTGTTAGTATTATTGTATTTCTAACTCACAATCTTAACACCATCTGCCCTTCAGGAGGACAATACCTCAGTGTTACGGACAGACGCCAGGTAGTGCGGCAGTAATGTGTCTTAAGGCTACAGCACCGCAACAAATCCTTACAGACCCGATAGAGCCACAAATCCTCTTCACAAAAGATGCCATACACCATAAAAATCCCCCGAAGAACTGCCAGTTCTCACCCTGGATTGTGAGGGGAGACTTCCGAAGAGTCTACGATCAAAGACAACCTTTTAGGTCTACATGTACCACGAGCTGGGTTGGAGGGTAGAAGAAGCTCTCAAGGCCTCCAGGGATGAATGGTGCGAAATCCTTGGAGCAGCGCAAAGGTGTAATTGCAGAAGATCTGGAGGCTATTTATGTTGGGATTGTAGCAAAATCACTACAACACGCAGCGCTCAATTAAATGCATACATTTATTTGCACAGACCAGATTCTTCTGAAGGTCGATGGTTCTGCACCACAGCGAGCCTTCATCATGTATTCAACGGCACTATATTAAAAAGTATTTTAAGGGTTTGTCCACCCCCATTCAAAGACAAAATGTGTACAGAATATTAAACAGAACTTTAATCCCATTATCCTGAGATAATTCAATGATGTTTTTTTTTTTCAATTTATTATTATTATTCATATTAATTATCATGCTTAAAAGAAGAAGTCCTTTGAATGTCCTTTCCACTATTGTCTGACGCTGACAAAATAAAATATTAAGCATTAATTAACTGGTCTTTCTCCTCGCGGTTTCTTTATTTTTTATTTTTTCCTGGTTCTGTAAGGAAACTCGAGCAACAGATTGACAATTAAGTAGGAGTCTGGGTGAAATCAATGGTTTGTTAAGTGGTGATTTTTTTTTTTTTTCAGGCAATTTCTCGAAAATGAAAAATGGCACGACACTTAGATAAGACTGGTTTCTTGTCATGACGAGAAAAGCACACTTTTTAGAATGATTTTAAAGGAAAAAACATGGACAAAACCGTCCTTCCACTGTTATATTTGAATATATTTAGCCTTTTAAGACCACACAGTCACATCTAGGCCAACATCCAGCCTTTTCAGACGAGTTACGCTGATAAAAAATAAAAAAAAACTGTCCACAAAAGTCAAGAAGCCAAAGATTAAACTGTCAGGACAAATGTGTCTATTACATGTACGAGGCCTGTTCAAACAATGTCTAGTTTATCAAGAGAGGAAGCTAAGGTCAACTGTTAGGGCTGAGCTGTTACCGTAGCAACAGAAGACGGGGGGAAAAGAGTGTTGGCGTGGTAACCAAGTCATCTCTATAGAGGCTTGACCTATAATAGGCC